ACAGCTGCCGCCCCTCCATTAGGGTTTGGGTTTTGCTTAGATTATTCTGTCAAGAAACAGTTTCACCGTTTTTCAGTTTGTGAGACCCCAACTCGTGAGATTAATCATACATTTGCAATTTGGTTACGATCTTTCTTGTTCTTGCTTATGTTCTTCGTTGCGCAGGCAGGGATTAGCCTTCTTGGCGAGGTCAACCTGGTCCGTGACTTGGTTGATAACCAGAGGAGCTGTGGTGCTAAGATTGCAGGGTTCGATCTTTCGATCTGAAGCCGGATCGGTGTGTCATTCTCCGCCACAACGATAGTTACCATCACCTGATGGAAGATCGGGATCCCCGTCTCCATTACCGTTGGATAGGACAGAACCACTCTGAATCTCGATCTCCATCTCTCCCCTTTCTCCTAATTACCTCAAGCCGGCGCCGTTAGTGCAGAACCTGACGTGGGCATCCCTCTGTTACAAACAAGCCAAGGAGAGGAGGAGGTCCAGCATGGGCGTCCAATTCATCTTTCTCATGGTAGAGGCCCAGTCCAACTGAAGTTGGAGCCCATCTCGGGTTCTAGGACCAGTCTGTCATAAAACTAGTCACAAGGGCGTGTCTAGGCTCTGTTTTTGACGATCCACATATGGATGGAAAGCTAATTAGATAAGGAAGCCAATGCAAGTGGTCTCACATCAAAATCCCTTCGGAATCAACGGGAATCATCGAAACAAATCAGCGTCCAGAATCTACTAGGGTGTTGCGACATAGTCTTTTGGTCCATTGGACCGTATATCGTGTTTGGGCCCATTAGGGGCGCATCTAGGGGGTGATGCCCAAGTCTCTATATTATACCGCCATCACTCTCGTTAGGGTTTTGGGTTTTGTTTAGTTCTTGATTTCCACGTGAAATAGACGTCGTTTTGCTACAACTATGCCGCCAAGGCCGCTTGCTGTGAACCAGGGCCCCGGTTCTTGATCTTGTTCGTCTGTGGCGATTAGACTTTTCAAATAAAGACTTGAACTTCTTTCTTATTATCATAAGCCTCATATTTATTTGCAATTTCAGATTGCGTTCAACCCGTTCTTGCTTGTGTTCTCGATTCGCTTGCAGGAAAGCCTTCTCGGCGAGGTCAATCGCGTTCGCGTGGTTGATAACCAACGGAGCAGTGGTGTAACGGTTACGAGGGTCCGAATTAGTCTTGGTTCGAAGCCTAGATCCTGAACGTCGAGTCTCCACCAATCGATGCTATCATACCTTTCAGAAGATCGGGCCTTGTCTACATCAAGAATCGTACCTATCGAAAGATCGGGCTTTGTCTACATCAAGTGGTAGCAAGTCTAATTCTATATTCTTCATGTACTTGATGGGAGCTAAATTTTTTATCTACAGCCATCTCCCAATCTAAATATACTTCAGGATCAGCAGAACCAGAAAAAGGAGGTATCTTAAACTTGGTTTTAGAGAAAGGATCATTATTACCTTGGTTATTACCTTCCATACCGCGTCGGTTAAAGTTCAATCGATTACGGTAACGTGCATCCTCAACACGTCGAGCTTCGGCTTCAGCCTCCGCGTCGCCATCATCCTCCTCAGCATCCTCGCCTTTGAGATCATCATCATCAACATCTTCAGGACGTGGTTCAGGATGTCATTGTTCAACATCTTCAATCCTCTTGGCCAAGTTGATGATTTATTGAAGGATCTCATTAAGCTTATCATCAAGAACGGCACGAAGCTCATTCTTGGAAACATAGTCATTGAAATCTATAGGTGTGTCCTCGTTTCCTTTATCGCTGCCTTCGGCTTTTCCTGACATGGTTAGTAGAAAGGAGAAGACAACACAAATAGTATTATCTCTACCAACTACTTAGGTTGTGGACAAGGAAAAACAAGGCACTCAACTCTCAAGCGTCTTACCACGGTCTTACAAGTGTTCTTACCAAAGCAACAGGCGGTGCAATCGATCGGTGACTGTGATACCATTGTAGCTTGAGTGTAACAGTTGCAAGGCGAACCTGTACTTGGTTAGAAAAAAGTGGAGCTTGGACATACACAATATAGTAGCAAGGAATAGCAATATTCGCAACTGAATAACAAAGCTGAATAAGTATCCCAAGTACTTGTCTTAGTTGCTGGCCTATTCACGTTCTAAGTATCAGATGTATCAAGTGATGGGAATAGCAGAAATATGATTAGGAACAAGGCGAAAATCAGCACACGCAAACACATCTCAAATGGTGCCCTCTATGTGCTTCTCTAGATATTGTTCCACTTTTGTCCCTCTTATTTTTCTCTATTTTTTGCTGTCGTTGTTTTTTGGGGATTCTTTGACTTTTTATTTTTATTTTTTTGATATTTTTTCTTCACTTAGAAGCATAAAAGAAGTAACCACAGAAAATATAAGCTTAAACAAGTGAAAGGTGTGGACTGTGGAAAATTCAGAAGACGTGCTCAAAATTGACAAAAAGCTTGTGATCACGAAAAAAGAAACTTGTGACCAGTTTTTTGCCAAAATAAAATTTTCTGAACACGGCAATAACGGGAACGAGCGGATTCGAAATTTTTTTCTAATCGATTTTAATATATGGAACGTTGAAATTCGAGTTCATATGCGAAATCTAGGTCAGTTTTAAGAACTGACTTCGAATTAGAGAACAAAACGGGAATAATACGCGCAAAAGTTGTTGCGGCGGCTACGGATAGATGCAAACAGTGAAGATAAGTGTAACAAATTAGATGGTGTGGACTAGAGTTTGATGGATACAAAGAAAACACAACAAGATTTGAAGGTGTTCACGGATGACGATGATCAACAAAGGAAAAGACATAAACTGAACTAAAAACGATCTAAAACCAGCAACCCGAACTTGCCCAAGGACACAAACTCAACAACGCGAAACAGAGATAAAATTGCATGGCACAAGGCTATAGGACAGAGAATATGAGGCGGTGTATATATATTTTTTGACTTTTTGTGGACTCTAGGTAATATAAAAACAGTAACAATCTAAAAGGAAAAATAAAAGTATACCTAATGGGCAACAAGGTCTCTGATACCACTTGATGTAGACAAGGCCTGATCTTTCTAAAGTTATGATAGCGTCGATTGGTGGAAACTCGGCGTTCACGATCTAGGCTTCGAACCAAGACTGATTCGGACCCTCGCAACCGTTACACCACTGCTCCGTTGGTTATCAACCACGCGAACGCGATTGACCTCACCGAGAAGGCTTTTCTGCAAGCGAATCGAGAACACAAGTAAGAACGGAATAGACGCAATCCGAAATTACAAATAAATATGAGGCTTATGATAACGAGAAAGGAGTTCAAGTCTTTATTCGAAAGGACTAATCGCTACAGGCGAACAAGATCAAGAACCGGGGTCCTGGTTCATAGCAAGCGGCCTTGGCGGCACAGTTGCAGCAAAACAACGTCTATTTCACGAGGAAATTAAGAACTAAATAAAACCCGAAACCCTAACGAGAGTGACGGCGGTATAATATAGAGACTTGGGCCCCTAACGGGCCCAAACACGACACACGGTCCAACAGACCAAAAGACGGTGTCGCAGCACACTTGTAGATTCTGGACGCTAACTTGTTTTGACGATTACCGTTGATCCCGAAGGAATTTTGACGTGAGACCACTTACATTGGATTCCTTATCTAATTAGCTTTTCATCCATATGTGGATCGTCGAAAACGGAGCCCGGACACGCTCTTGTGACCAGTTTTATGACAGACTGATTCTGAAATCCGAGATGGACTCCAATTATAGTTGAACTAAGCCTCCACAATAAAAAAGATGAATTAGACGTCCATACTGCACCTGCTCCTCTTAGCTCGTATGTAACGGAGTGATGCCCTCGTCAGAACCAGAACCAGTACAACACGCTCCACGGCGGCGCGGTGGCGGCCGTGGCTGAGGCCGTCGGGCATGGCGTGCCCGCGCGCCCGGCTGGGGATAAGGAGATGTTCCTCGGCGAGCTCAGTACCGCGTACCGGCTCAACGTGAGTTTCCCGATCCTCAACAGTCAACACCCTGATATACGATACAGATCCATTCAGTTTTTTTTGTCCCAATGGTTTCGCTCGCCATATACAGCACTCGCTGTGTAGGATGGATTGAATCGATCGTCACAAAATTCTATGTGCTTTGAGGCAATTTTCTTGCATTAGTTGAGAAGCTCAACCTCCTTCCTGATGCGGGGAATTGTGGGGATAGGAGATTGCAGTAATGTGTTAATCCAGGATGAGAGAAAGATGATGAGAGCAAAGTTATACTGCTAGAACATGTGGTTGAGAATCACTGAATATGATTCTGCAAGAAATGAGGTTGTACCACTCGTCAAACATCTTCTGGCATCTGAGGTGATCAGGGTGGACTTTGTGTCTCGAATATTGCTTGGGAAATACGAGTAGGTATCAGGAACTCTATCAGGAATTCAAGATTGCAAGAGGGGAAGGGGATAATATCTATCAGACCAAAAATTCAAATTAGTATCAATACCTTTCAAATAAAAGAAACTGGCTTGGGGACATTTCTATGAAAATTATGAAAACTTAGTATATAAGATTCCTAAGTCCCTCTATTACTTTTACTGAAACTTTTAATTCTCCATCCAAATTTATGCCGGATTCAAATTCACTTGAATTTCAGGAATTAACTTAAAATAGAAATTTTAATTAAAAAGAAAAAAAGTCTGAACAGTAAATGGGCCAGGCCCATCCTTGGCCTGCTTCACCCAGCTGGCCTTCCTCTGTTTTCTTCTTCCGACGACGAACTATAGCCGCGATCGCCTCGCGTGCACGCACAGCGCTTGGCCCTCTTCCACCACACGATATTTTCAGGGAGCACGGCACGGCCAACAACCAACAGCGGTTGTCAGTTGTCACTTGTCACGCATTACTCCGGCCGGTACATGCCTCCCCGCCCCAGCCCCATCCCGAACTCGCACCACCCCCACGGCGCCGGACTTCCGGAGCAGCAAAGCAAACGACGCAGGCGGAGGAGGAGATGTCGGAGTCGGACGGAAAACCGGGGCATAAGCTGTCACCGGCGGACTCCCGGGCGGTGATGCTGGCATTCTTCCGGGCCCTAGGCGCCGACGCGCGCCTCCCGGCCTCGGCCGAGCAGCCCGACGCCTACTCCGCGCTCGTCCGCGCCATCCTCTCCTCGGTTGCCGTCTCCACCTCCCCGGCCCCGCGGGTCTCCTGCACCATCACCGTCTCACACGCCGTGACCGTGAGCACCCACTGCTACTGAGCTCCCCGTTCAAATCTCTCTCTCTCTCTCTGTCTCTCTCTCTCTGCTGCTTACCTACCTAGTTCCCTTCCATGGACTTTTCCCTGCAGAACCTATACAACACGCTCCACGGCGGCGCGGTGGCGGCCGTGGCCGAGGCCGTCGGGATGGCGTGCGCGCGGGCAGCCGCCGGGGATCGGGAGATGTTCCTCGGCGAGCTTAGCACCGCGTACCTCGTTGCGGCGCGATGCAATGTGATCTTCTTCTAATTAAATTCTGTGCACCTGATACATATTGATACATATTGTTTTTCCAATAATCTTGGCCTACATCCAGCATCCAATTTGATTGGAATATACTCGAATTTCACATTACTATGTACTCTTTGGGCAACTTTGTGCAGCGATTTAAAACGTCAAGATAATTTGGGGGATTGGGGGTGTCTGGCTGGTTGTTATCAATGTAGCTACAGGAAACAGTTTTCTGAAGTTTTAGATGTAATTTTTTTCCCGACAGAGGCATCCCCATTTCCATTAAGCCAACTGAAATACAAGAGTTTGTAGCAGAGGAGAAAAGAAAAGCAACCAGAACCGGTTACAGCCTACAACTCTGATTCAGAGTTCAGACTGCAACCCAAAAGCTCCCCAACCTGACGAGGCAGTTAGTTTTAGATGTAAATAACTGTTTGTAAATGAGAGTCGTTGAACAAGCATTGCAACTTTGCCAGAAAGGGGATGGATTTGATTGAGGGAGATCTAGTAGAACCTCTAGCCAATGTTTGAGGTAAACGTTATAGAATGATAGATGTGAAATATATCAGGCCTGCCAATATCTGGTTTACTTGTAGCAAATATGTTTAAATAGTGTTAAACCTGGTGATTGTTTATCCGATGCTAATAGGTCTTGCAAAGTCTTGGTCCATTTGTTTCAACTTTGAAGAAAGGTTAGGGGTCCAGTCCAGACTCAATAGTTCAATACAAGCATGTCATACAAGTGAGATATGATAGTGTACATAACCGTGGAAGGTTTCATACATGCACACTTAAAAAAATAAAGTATGGGAGCTTAAAAGTGCTATACTGCAAAGCATTAGATGCAGAATGCATGGCATTCTAGAGGCCGCAAATGGTAGAATACGATTGATGTGATGAGCATAAATGAAATAGGTATTCAAGTGCTTATAAAAGAGTATATTGCCAGTTTGAAAATTTTAATATCTACAAATGATATCAAAGCGAAAAGTTATTGTAGTTTGATTGCATCTATTCTACTGTTGTCATAATTTTTGGAACACAGTTTCTGAGATGGATTTTGTCCTATATAATAATCATATAAGACGGTTTTAATCCTCAAAAGGTCCAAGGGTCTAATTATTTTGATTTGAACTTTCACAAACTGAACACTTTTAGCTTCTCTCTGATTTATATCTAATCTGAGAAAAAAGGATTCGAAGCTTGAGATTGTCACTGGTAATTTTTCGGTCATTCACTAGTAATGTATGTTGTAATGTTGTGCCCTTGTTGGGAAATTGGATTATGATAAAGTGGGCCCTGAAGAGTGGCATGTCATATAGCTCTAAATTATGCTTTTGATTTGGAATAAATCTAACAGATACCAGTTTTTTAATTCCATGCTCTTCCACGTGATACTTGCTGTGATGCCCCATGTCAGTGTGACATCAGTAGCGTACATTTAACTCACAGTTGAGTCCATTTACATGATAGTAGGAGCAAAATGAAATCAAAATGCTAAGTTATCTCATTCTCATCTGCTGACCCTGAAGACAACCTACGGTATTTTTCTCTCGCAACAAATCAGCCAAGGCCGGCTTATCAGCCGGCTTTAATCCCATTGACATTGCTGCTGCGAATAGCACTTCTGTCATTTCTTGCCAATTCAGTAAACTTAGGAAGGGTGCTATAGAACTCCTTCCGTTCTCTTTCATCGGCGTTCTGGCTATCAAGTCAAAGGGTCTTTCGTGAGAAAAAAAGCTGCCAGATGGTGGCAGGCTTATGAGAAATAGAAAGTCTCTTTTCGCTACTCCTTACTAATAAAAAAGTGAAGAGCCTTGCGACGAGACGCGGACATTCCTCATGCTGCGGTTCCCTCGGGAACAGGTATCAACAACGAGAACGAGAAAGAAGAACCAAATGGAAACAGCTCTTGGCCCAGACAACGTCCTAGGCGTAGGGGAGATCAAAACAAGAAGTCACGCCTAGACGACGACGCCCGTCCTGGGCTTCTCTTCACTTGTGCCATAATTTATTTCCTGCACTGTCTCCTTTGTGCTAATATCTCTATGTTCCTCACTGAATTTAGGCATGGCATATTTTCTTTACAAGCATTAGAAATGAACTTCTGAGGAATCGTGGCTATACTACTCTCCTCTGATGCCAAATCTCTAACATAGTATTTCTAATTGAAACACAAACTAGTGAACAATAGGAAAAATGGGATATAAAGACATTCGAGTTCTCATCTCACTGTCAAATACTTTATCATGTCAGATTTCAAGCATGTATCCAATCCTAATCCCATCATTTATCTTCATGCAGTCTGAAGTGGATGTTGAAGCGCAGATACTGAGGAAGGGCAGATCAGTCGTGGTTACCACAATCGATTTCAGACTTAAGGACACCAAAAGGCTCTGCTACACATCTCGAGCCACCTTTTACATCATGCCCGTGGCAAGCCTATAAGCCCAAGTTATATATGGACAATTTCTTCTGTCTACACGACCAGAGTTTGTATTGTGTATATTTAACTTGGAATAGCATGTATCCGTAATCTGTTGTATCAATAATGAAGTCATATTGACCCATGATGCCACCGCAACTATTCCAGATGCAATAACCCCCCCCCCCACCCCCCCCCCCCCCCCCCCCCCCCATCCATATATGTACTAACCTGTTATAAAGGTAGGATGGAAGATCACGATCATGTGATGCTTATAAAGTTTAAGGTCAGAAAAAAATCTGCTGTGTTTCTCTGAAAAACAGTTAGCTTTACAACTACTAAATGATTTTCTGTCAGGAAGAATGTGGAGTACGTTTTTGAAATATTGTGCCCGCAAGTTAAATGGAAACTATTGTAACTTTTGATAGAAACCATGGATGGGACATGGAAATAGAGAAATGAAATAAGCATGGACATATACATCATCTTAACCCAGGAGGGGAGAGTGAGTAAAGAGGAGGCCAGACTGTAGGTTTTTTTTTTTCAATCTCGATTTAACAGATAAGCTATTCTAAAAATTACAATAACAGAATGTGAAATTTTACTGTACTTGAAAAAAACTAAGCCATCCATTTAGATAGATCAGATGGTTATAAAGTAAGAAGAACAAATGTAAAGGAACTTAAGTTGTAGGTCGGAACAAAAAAAATACGTAGGCCCCGAACTAAAAATATATGAGCAAAGAATTATTTTAAAATAAATCTAAAGGGTAGAATAGTACTTTCACGTAGCTGCTGCTCCACCCTCGTGTCTCCTTTCATGTCTCCGAGTGCGGGTGGGGGCGGCCGCAGAGGCTCCCCGGCGCGCATGGCCCCGGTGGACGGGCCCCGCAACTCCCTCCCTCTCCTAGCATGATGGCACGATGACGACGCTTGCATCTGGGGATTCTTGGCGGCCGCGACAGCGAGCATAATGCATGAGCGGCGGTGGCTGCTGCTGAACAATTAGTAGAAAATGGCCGGAGCCGGAGGTGTGCCGTGCCGTTGCAGCTCCTGCCCTCGTGGCTGCAATCATTCAGGGGCGAGACGGACGAGGAGAAGGCGGAGGGGCTGAAGCAGACGCTTGCGGCGGCGTAGACGAGGAAGCCTTCGAGGAGTGCTCCAAGGGTAAGCCTTCTTCGGCGACAACAGCGTTGGGTACATGCCTACATGGACGTCACGCTAGGCAGCCTGCTGGTCTCGTGGGTGTACGCCGGTGAGAAGCTCTATGGTTTCAGATATAAATCTCCAAACGGGCCGCGCGAAACGGGCTGGCATGGGCCCGGTGCGAAAAAGCACGGCCCTAGCCCGGTACGGCCCGGCCTCGGCCCTGCCCGTGCCTGGCCCGGCCCGCAGCCGTGCCTGTGCCTGGGCCGAAAAGGTCAGCCCGTAGTGTCGGCCCAGGCATGGCCCGTTCCAACGGGCGGCACGGGGCAGGCGTGGCTCGCAGCCGTCGGATCGCGGAGGCGGGGCGTGAGTCGTTGGATCGCCGGGCGGCCGATATATAAGCCGCATCGGGCGGCCGCTCTCCCCACTCGGCCACTCCCCTCACTCGTAACCCTAGCCTCTCGCCCTCTCCTCTCCGGCTCTCCCCGCTCACTCTGTCGCTCGCCCGTTCCTCGCCACACTCGTAACCCTAGCTCCTCGCCTGCTCATCGCTCTTCGCCGCACTCGTAACCTGGGCTCCTCGACGCCGTCACCATGGAGTCTTCCGACGGGTAAGGGGTCAGTTCCGGTGGCCGGTGGTTCCCTCTTCTCCCTCTCCGCCCTCAATCTCCCTCTTCTCCCTCAGATCTGGTGGTTCCCGCCCTCAATCTCCTTCTGTTCCCTTATTCTTTATCCCTGAACGTCGATTGAGCCTCGTTCTCGGCATCCTCACCGCATCTCCATCATCTGTCCGTCGTCCACATCGCTGGCTGCCGCCACCTCCGGGGCTCCGGTTTCCGTTGAGGTACCGGGGGTGTGCAATCGGTCCGTCTCATCGTCGTCGTTTATGGGGCTCCGGCCGTAGAGGTAAGGGTAAACCCTAACCCTAACCATAACCCTAACCGAAACACTAATCCCCAACCTAACTCTGCTTTTTATCTATTGATTGTGGCAGCCATCGAGGAACCGGAGACGACAGAGATGGTCCCAGGCGCCGGGCGACACGACGACGGGGAGTTTGACCACTCCCAGAACGACGAGCTGCGTATGTGCGGGATGGCCGGAGATGATGAGGACGATGATGTTCGCGAGGACGCTGTCGTGCTCTTCGGCCGTTCTGCTGCTGATCCCCTTCCCGTCGATGACTCCGACCCCCCAGTCGACGTGGCTGATGTCGACGGTGGCCAGAGCGAGGTTAGCCCTGTCGGTTCTAATCGCCCTTCCACGTCTGCTGTCTGGGAGGACTTTGAGAAGCACTACAAAACTGAGAAAGGTAGAAAGATCAGGTTTGTTGCCACTTGCCTTCATTGCCATAAGCGCTACTCTGCTTATTCTGCTCATGGCACTGGGCATCTTACTCGACATCTTGCTAAGTGTCCTAAGAAACTTGAGAAGACCCGGGGCATGAC